CACAAGGGGGGAGAGGTCTCCTCGTGAGTTCGCGTACGAGTCATTAATTGTTGAAACCACATTAATTTCCAATCGCGTAACTGTTGTGTGTTCTTGGTGTGATCCTAACTCGACACTCTGGTTCGCTGTCCCTGAAACTATTCGTCGCTGCCGTCCTGCCCACATTTCTAACTACTATGCTTCTAAATAGAGTATGGAGGAGGAGGAGGAGGAAGGTTGTTATGCTTAATACTCGTCTGCGGACCGCTGATCTATGGTTCAAGCAATTGACGGTTCGCGTGGTTATCATCCCTTGGAATAATTTCAGCCTCGACAAACAGGAGAGTGGGGCCGAATCCTGTTGAATAATGCAGTATCTGGCAGCTAAAAATCTTCCCCCTACCCGCTACCACATTTCCGGGCATTATTATGTGGAATAACAGCCCAATTTCTTCGTAGTATTTGCTATTTCAAAACTGGCACTATATTCGACAAACTATGTCTGCGGATTCCTACTGTGGTAGGTTTTTTTTTCAACCTTATTACTTGGCGCCCGATTTTTTTTCCGACCGGTTTGTAACTCTTATTCCGAGTAATGTGAGAAGATAGGCAAAGGTTTCTGACAAGTTCTTCGCGTGCGGAAGCACTCGCCGAAGGACTGAGCTGATGCCGTTTGACAGCTCGCCTTATTTCTGCATGCATCTGTCGACAGTCTCGCGGGCAGCCATTCGCTCTGAGAGCCGGTTGACGTTAATTCAATTAGCGAACTGAGTCTTCTGGTTCACTGCAGTGCATCCTAACAAGTCAACGTAGTGTCCATTCTCAAGCGGGTAACCGAACATGCGGTGGCAAGGAGGAGGAAGTACGTTATCTACCACGTCGCTGCTGCTTCAACGTGAACCGCTAACTACTTTATTCCTGTTCCTTCGGTCCGCGGTCGATTAATAACCGCACTAACATACCTCCTCCATATTCTTTGTTGAAAATCTTTAAGCAGAGCGGGGGGACGCGAGCGATAAACAGCTCCAGTGAAAGTGAAACAAAGGGCTGATTTGGCACAATTCAAGTAG